TCAAGCCATTTCTCCCCTCCCTCCCCGCTCCAGGCTGGGCTGTACAGAAGCACCCCACTTCCTGAAAGCAGCCCAGAGGCCCCAAGCTGATGCTAGGAGAGGGCTCAGCAGCTTGGTGGTGGGGAGGAGGGGAGACAGCCCCAAACTTCCTGAGTTAGTCCTGGATTGAGGCATATTTGTAGAGCTCCCTGCCTCTCTTAAATCCCTTCAGCCCCCAAGCTGGCTCTTGTCTAGGAGAAGAAGGTGTTGGGCAGGTGAGGAGGTGAGATGCCCTTTCTGATTTCCAGTTACAACAATGACTGCCCAGGAGCAGATCTAGTTGCACCCCCTTGCCCTTTCCTCTTGCTGATCAGGACCTGGGTATCCATATGAGAGTGCTGACCTCCCCTTCAAAAGAGCCCCCCATCAGCCTCTAGTCCTCACGTAAGCAGGAAAGCTCTCATTGCAGGCTGGAAAAGTCCATTCAAAGCTGCTTGGATGTGGTGGCACCCATCTGTGATCTCAGCATTTGGTAGGTGATAGGAGGATCACAAGTTGAAGGCCATTCCAGGCTCTATATAGTGAAACTCCATCTCATTTTGCATATGCAAGGCCCTGAGTTTCACTCTCAGAAATACCAATGAGAACTAGGAGTGGGGTGGAGTGTACAGAGGCCTGAAAAAGCAGGGCAGGACTTTGATAACACTGTCCAACAAGAATTTGCCAGCTTAAGGATTGCTGGGATTGGAGATTGAAGAGGTCATAGTGCAGCATCTGCCCAGAAGCCTGTAAAGGAGTATGCAAGGTGGACTAAATCTAGGCTTCAGGGCAGATTTCTAGGGCTTAAGCTAGCAAGTTGTCCCCCAGAGGATCAGAACAGAGGCAGAAGTCGACTGACCCTTGGAGGCAGATGTTATTCTGGTAAAATGTGACTTTATCCCTGGTGGGGGTTACCTTACAATGACAAACAAGCTCTAGAATCTCCAGGAGTGGGATTCGAGCTGTGTTGAGTTGCTGAGGGAAAAGGAAAGGGGTTGGGAATTACATGCAGGTAATGCTAGTCCAATCTGCAGAAACCACAGACAGTTGAGAAGGGTCATCTACAGAAAGGACTGGAGGTACAGGCAAAGCCCAGAGGTATGCGGTGTCTGGAACCTGTTGCACCAAGTCTAGTGGAGGGTAGAAGGGACAGCAGGGATGGAGCTGAATCCAGAGAGGGCAAAGTCTATGTCTTAATGCAAAATCTGACACACTCTGTCTCTCTCTGTCTCTCTCTGTATCTCTCTCTCTCTCTCTCTACCTGCCAGTCCCATGGCTTGAACGGAAAGCCTTGCACTCATGCTCAGCTTTTTGCTCCACTCTATGAACCACACCTTCATTCTGTCTTTTGATCATTAATTGGAGATGAAGTGCCCAGACCCACTAGTATTGGCAAAACTATTTTTTTTTGGCCAGCACTAGGTTTGAACCCAGAACCTTGTATTTGCTTGGCTTACTTGCTCATCTGGCACTCTAGCACTTGAGGTATACCTTCAGCTTCTAACTTTATGTTGAAGATAACTGAGATTAAGGTCACTCGGAATTATGGATGTGCAGGAACTCTTTGACTTATGAGGGGGCCACTCCCCAATAAACCCAAAGTCAAAGATGCATTTTCTATAGCTAGCTTGCTAACATAATAATTTAGCAACGTGGTAGAGCATCAGTTGTTTGTCATCAAGATCAATTGTGTAGCTGGCTGGGAGCTTCAACTCATTGCCACTACCCAGCTTCATGAGAGTACCAGGAGAAGATCAAAATTCAAAAGCAGATTTTGTACTGAATGCATATGCAATTTATAGCACTGAAAAGTAAAAAGTCATAATGGAACCATCATAAATTGGGACTATCTGTACTTGAAGCATGGTAAGAGATGATCAGACTGCATATGTCTACATATCTATGAAACAGTTTTTCCCTTCCTGGTTGGAGGCTAACTTGGAACATGAGACCTGAACCTGAGGGACTGTGTGAAGGCTAGTACAGTGTTCTGAGCTCCTGAAGTTGATAGGAGAGCGGTTGTAGAGAGCCATGATACTGTTTGACAACGTGGTTGACAGTTGAAGGAAGACCAGGTAAACTCACATTAGAGTTTCACTTGCTTTCTTAAAGTACTCCAATCGCTCCTGATGGTCTTGGGGTAGAGGCTAAATTCCTTTCAATGGCTACAAGGTCCAGCCACACAGCCACTTCTCTACCTTTATCTCTTAGCAGGCATTGCCCCCATCCCATTTCATAGCTTTGATTCTTGCTTGCTCTCTGTCTCTGTCTCTCTGTGTCTCTGTCTCTGTCTCTCTCTCTGTCCTTTTACTTCACGTTCTCCTTTATAACCTTTAGCCTTTGCATATGCTCTTTTTTGGTATTGGAGCTTGAACTTAGGGCCTGAGCACTATCCCTTAGCTCATTGCTTAAGATTGGCACTCTATCACTTAGAGCCACACCTCCACTTTAAGCTTTTTGCTGGTTAATATTAATGAGTCTCACAGACTTCATTTTATTTTATTTTAATTTTATTGTGAAAATACTGTACAGAGGGGTTACAATTACATGGGCAAGATAATGAGTACATTTTTTTTTTTGGGTCCGGTCATGGGGCCTGAACTCTGGGCACTGTCCCTCAGCTCTTCAGCTCAAGGCTAGTGCTCTACCACTTGAGCCACAGCGCCACTTCCGGCTTTTTTCTTTTTGCTTCTGTGGTGCTGAGGAATCGAACCCAGGGCCTCAGGCATGCAAGGCAAGCACTCTACCACTAAGCCACCTTCCCAGCCCAATGAGTACATTTCTTATCAAGCATTGTAGCCTCCTCCTTTGTTTCCCCTTCCCATCCCTTCCCATCCTCCCCTCCTGCCCCACCCAATCCTCCTCCCCCCTACCAAAGTTGTAAAGTTTGTTTTCAACATAATGACTTGTACACCTCATTGTTGCAATGGATCCACCTGTATCCCTATTTAAACGATTTGTTTTTTCCCTTCCCCTCCACAAATTATACCAACCTCAAATACAGTGAAAGCAGGGGTTATACCATGGGGGAGGGAGTCTCACAAACTTTTATGCCTGGGCTGGCTTTGAACCGGGATCCTCAGATCTCAGTCTCCTTAGTAGCTAGGATTACAAGTGTGAGCCACAGGAATCTAGCTTGCATATGCTCTTGTTTACCTGTGAGACTCCTACCCTCATGGCCCCATCCTGAAACCTAATTTGACAACTTCACACCCCAGGCTGGTTGCTACTCCTTATTTAGGATTCAGCTTTATGAAGTCTTTCATGATCTCTACTGCCAAACCAGGAGCAGATACTTTTCTTCTCCATCTCTATAGTCCCCTGTTATTACCCTATCTCATTTGTTAGTAACCCACACAGTGACTTTCTCATTATACATCAGAAAAGCTTGTAAGCTGATGAAGGGCAGGCTTTTGTGGGTGATCTCCTGCTGCTTCTTTCTGTGCATGTCTGGGAGGAAAAAAGGACAGGGACATACGCAGTACCATGCCTAGCTCATGGGTAGTGACATCATTTCTAGAGAGAGGGTAGATTTTGTCTCAGGGGTGGAGGAATAGGGGTGGAGAGAGAGAGTTTGGATTTGGGCCCAGTTGAGCTAAATGTATCCAAGGGTCACCTGGGAGGACATATGGAGTAGGTTGTCCACTTTGTGGGCCCAGAGCTCAGAGGAGCAGTTTGGACTGGAATGGTCTGCTGAGAGGTAAGAGCTAAAGCTGTGGGAATGAACTTGAAACTTGATGTTTTTTATTCCTAAGTAAACAGCCAGCCAAGAACTAGTATGTTTTCAAACATTGGTGGCCAAGGATGTGACAGGATGAGGTGGAGGGAGGTGGAAAGAGGTGGCACCCTCTCCCTGTAGGGCAGAAGGAGATCCCTCCTCTGCAAATGCTCCACTGTCACACACCCCTGAGGGAACAGAGGGCTTCAGTTCTGCAGCCTGGCTTGGGAAGGAAGACTGGACAGAAAGTCCTGCTGGCCTCTCTGTGTTTCCCTTCCCTCACCAACTGCCTCCAATGTTCCCTAGGTCCTTACCCTTGGCCAGGGCCCATTGACTCCATTATACTGCTTGTCTCCCATCTCCACAGACTCACTCATACCTCTTCCCCATGGACTCTTCCCTGCCCTAGGATGGCCTCTGTAAGTCAATGCGCTTGCTCCTTCCCTAGTGGGGCCCAGGAATCCTGCCAAACTTTGTGCTTCCTGGCCTAGGGATGACTCAGGCTTCCCTCCAGTCCCTGAGCCACACCATAGGCTGAGCAACTGAGGAGATGAGGGGCCTCTGACTCCAGGATCCAGGGTGCTGGGGAGATGGGCTCAGGTCTTTGCTAAGGCTTGACAGGCAGCATTTCAGAGAGGGCACAAGGAATAAGGGATAGGGAATTGGGATACTGCAGACAATGGCAGTGGCTGGGGGTTGCTGAATTAGGAAAAGCTACCATTAGCAGTTCAACATGACCTTACCCTAGGAACCAACTGGTCAGTAGGTACATATTTCTTTTTTTCTTTTATTTTCCTTTCTTTTCTTTTTCTTTCCCTTCCTTTTTTCCTCTCTCTCTCCTTCCTTCCTTCTTTCCTTCCTTCCTTCCTTCCTTCCTTCCTTCCTTCCTTCCTTCCTTCCTTCCTTCCTTTTCTTTCTCTTTCCTTTCTTGTTAGTTGTGAGTCTTGAACTGAGGGCCTGGGTGCTGTCTCTGGGCTTTTTTGCTAAAGGTTAGTGCTGTACCACTTTGAGCTACTTCTAGCTTTTATTGTTTGTTAATTGGCTATAAGAGTCTCAAAAGACTTTCCTGTCCAGGCTGGCTTCAAACCACGATCCTCAGATTTCAGTCTCCTAAGTACCTAGTATTACAGGAGTGAGCCACCACACCCAGCTTCTTTTCCTTTCTTTCCCTCACCCCTTTTCTTGCATTCTTTTCTCCTTTCCTTTCCTTTCCTTGTGCTGGCACTTTGCCACTAAGCCACATCCTCAGCCCTTGGATTTTTGAGACAATCTTGCTATGATGTAGCCAGAGGCTAACAAAAATGCCTGATTCTTCTGCCTCAACTTCCCAAGTGCTAAGATTACAGATATGTGCCTCCGTAACCTGCTCAATAAGTACTTATTAAATAACAAGTTTGCAGCAGGCCAGGTGTTCTGTCTAGTCTCTCTGTTCTGCACTAAAAATAGAGGGGCTGTTTAAGCCATCTAGGGGGCCACAGGCCTGACATGAAATCCTCGTGCCACCTCTTCCTTGCCAAGTAACCTGGAGCAGGTAAGTCATTTTGCCTTGTGAAAGGCTCAGTTTATACATCTGTACCATGGGTATAAGAATGATTTCTTCCTAGAGTTGAGAGGAGGTACTGTGCAAAACAGTAAGAGAGCTGTTATATTTATCTGCATGGCTAGGATGGAGAAGAATAAACAGGTGCCTCTCTGTCATCCGGAGGACACATTCTCTACTTCTTTCCAGTTGATACCGTGGGATTCCTTGAAGTCTCAGCCGATGGAAGGTCAGGCTCAGAACGTGGGTTTCAAGTTTTGCTGGAAGAGTGTCAGCAAACAGCCTGACTCTTCTGAGCCATATAGGGAGACAAAAAGGGGGGGTGAATTCTCTTTTCTGTTCTCCCCCATTCCAACCAATTCTCTCTCTCTCTCTCTTTCTCTCCCTCCCTCCCTCCCTCCCATCTTGTGGATGGTACGATCAAAGGAGAGGTTCACATAGAGGTGAGGCAGAAAGGCCCAGCAGCGTCCTTCCCAGATGTGTTGTAGGGGGTGGGGGTAGAGGGAGACAGAAGAAATGTGGCCATGTGGAGGGCAGGGCCAGGGCCAGCCTGCGTGTGTGTGATCAAAGGCTCAGGGCGGGGCTGGGCAGGGGCTGGGGGTGAGTTCTTCGAATTGCTGAGGGTTTAATCTTTTCTCTTGGTTGCCTGGATGCCTTGGTATTCCTCCTCCCCAGTGCTTCCTACAGGACTGTGCCCGTAGCCCCTTGCTCAGATCAGCTGGGAGGGAAGAGCAGGGTACCTACCTAGTCCATCACTGAGTGGCTTGGCATGTCACCTGCTTAAAGCCAGCTAGAATTCACCTAGTTGAGTGTCCCTCACTGAGCTGTTGTTTGTGTACATGTGTGGCTGCTTACCTCCTGGAATGATTGTTGCCAACACTGGACTGCTTGCCACCTGCTACTGCATGATTATCTGAAATGGTGTTCCACTGCTTTGCTCTGTGGCCCAGAAGCCTCCTGGCCTAGGGTAGCTACTTCTGTGTGGCACAGAATAGGGCTGTGCCAGCCTGTATGCCATCTTGGGCTGAACGAGCTAGTTCTTTGCTCTGGGGTCTCCTTGGAGGGAAGATGGGAGCAGAAAATTTGCTTTATTCTAGAGGAGAAGAAAAATACTGGCCCTCCCAGGCCTACTTCAGGACCTTAGGGGCTCTGGCTGCCAATTTAGCCAGGAAATTTGCCGTCTAAACAATGCTTAGGGCAGCCTGTCCTGAGCTCTACTTCCCATCCTTGGTGGGAGTCTTGGGGAAACGCCTGTGACCATTGTTCCCAAAGACAGCTCACTGGGGTCAGGTCTAGGCCAGGCCAGGGTCCTCAGCCCCCACACCCTGGGAGGAGGCACATGATGTCCCAGAGAAACAGTCCTCTAGCCTTTGTTCTTGGCCGGGCCGGAAGCTACTCAGGACACCAGGGTTGGTGTGTGTGTGTGTGTGTGTGTGTGTGTGTGTGTGTGTGTGTTAAGCATGGAGGCAGAGAATTTTCCTTTTGACTTCCCTTGGAGGAAGGTTTTTGATAGGGGTAAATTTTGGTAAAGAGCAGAGATTTGCCCCAGGATAATGGTAAAGATGGAATGTCATGAACAGACCAGAAAGGGATCCCAGAGGTGAGCCCTCTAAAATTTCATTTCCATGGGAGCAGAGATGTTGTGTTGCTTGAGGTTATGTTCCCCCATGCTCAGAGCATAGTAAGTGTTCAGGAAGTATTTATTGGGTGTATGACCTGTTTCGCTCCTCTCATTTGATGCCCATAGAAGGCTGCCAATGTTTACAGTACCATACCCTGGACTCCCAGACAAACCTGGCTCCCAATTCTGTGTGTGTGTGTGTGTGTTTGTGTGTGTCCTGGGGCTTGAACTCAGGGCCTGGGGGTTGTCCCTGAACTTTTGCTCAAGGCTAGTGCTGTACTACTTAAGCCACAGCTCCATTTCTGGCTTTTTTGGTGGCTAATTGGAGATAAGAGTCTCACACACTTTCCTGAATGAGCTGGTTTCAATTACGATCTTCAGATCTTAGCTTCCCAAGTAGGTAGAATTGCAGGCGTGAGGCACTGGTGCCCAGCTCCAATTCTATACATGCCATTTTCCAGTTTAGTTGCCCTAGGACTCAGTTTTCTTATCTGTGAACTGGAGATAGGTATTCCCATCTTTGAGTTGTTGGGAGGAGCTTTCATCATTGTCTTTGTGAGCTTTGCTGGCAGATTAAAAAAATGTTTTATTGTTTTAGAGAACAGTGTTTTGCTATGTAGCCCAGGCTGTCCTCCAATTCATGATCCTCCTGACTCCACTTCTTGAATACTGGGATTACAGCTTTATTTATTTTCATTATTGTTTTTGTTTGTTTTTCGGAGACAGGGTCTTGCCCTGTAGTCCAAGCTGGGCTGGAACTTGTTATGTATCCCAAGCTGGCCTGGCACATAGTATAAATGTTAATTTTCTCCCCCTTTCTTCTAACTGAGTCTCCTCTTTTCCAAGCTAAACTCCTGTTCCAGTGACCCTGAACTTGCCTTATGATCTCTTTTGCCCTTACAACATAAATAATCAGATTCCATGCCAGCAAGAGCCCCATCTTACAGATAGAAAAACCGAGCCCTGAAAAGAATGATTCTGGCTCCACAGTGAATATCAGGATTTGAACAGTATTCTACTTGCTTTTTCTTATTTTTGTCTCTTCTTGTTCATACCAAGTGTTATGTCTGTTACTTGCCCTTAGACCTTGGGTACCTCTCTACATTTTCTTTTCTTTCTTTTTTTATGGGGGCGGGGGTACAGTCGTAGGGCCTGAACTCTGGGCCTGGGCGCTGTCCCTCAGCTCTTCAGCTCAAGGCTAGCGCTCTACCACTTGAGCCACAGCACCACTTCTGGCTTTATTCTTTTTGAATGTGGTGCTGAGGAATCAAACCCAGGGCCTCAGGCATGCAAGGCAAGCGCTCTACCACTGAGCCACCTTCCCAGCCCCCTTAAAGCTCATTTATTTAATTATAACTTTTTTCTTTTTTTGTCAGTCATAGGTCTTGAACTCTGCATCTGGGTGCTGTCCCTCAGCTCTTCAGCTCAAGGCTAGCCCTCTACCACTTGAGCCACAGTGCCACTTCAAAAGCTCATTTATTGTAAACATGGTGATCAAAGTCCAGAGAGGAAAAGACTTGTCCAAGGCCACATAGATAGAATAGTAATTTTCTAGTGCTCCACACTTACCAGGGATTTTCCCAGTCATGGATCCTTGGGCTCCAAGTTCTTCTTTTAGGACTTAAAAGGAACTGGCTTAGGGATGCCAGATGCCAAGCCAAGGACACTATTCTTCTGGTTGCCAGAGGCTCTACCAAGTCAGCAGGCACAAAGCCATCTGTCTTTCAGCCCCTTTTCTTGGGCCCACTGCCTTGCTAGGCTGGGCTGAGTTGTTTCCTTGCTGGGTGATGGTTTCTGTCCCACACTCAGGACTCTGTTATCTGCTTGCTGGCTCTGCCCTGGTTCTTGTAATGGACTGATCTGAGGCCATTTACATTTCTTTTGGTATGTTCTCCTGTCCGATAGCAACTATGTCATAATTATGTTGCTTTCCCTTATCCTTAATCCTCTGAAACTGCCTAGTTATCTTTAATTTCCTGTCCATTTCCCATACCGGGGAGTTAAGTGGGGCTAAGTCTGGCCCAGAGTGATGGAGTAGCGTGGGAAAGCTCCTAGCTGCTCACCCTGGGTCTCCAGAGCTCAGAGAGGTAGTTTGGGCCTCAGAGCCTATGGAGGCTGGTTGGCAGGATGCACCCTTTCCCCACCCCCTTCCAGACTAAACCTCTCTGTTAACAACGAAGATCATTGAGAAGGAATAGAGAAGGGATGTCTGGAGTTCCTCCCTCCTAGTTTAGGTAGTCTAGGATTTTTAGATCTAGTTTCAGTAAGCTCAGTCAATAACCTCTGGCCTTTCCACCTCCCCTATCTACCTAAATCAAATAATATGCTATCAAATATATGTCCCACTGTCCATAGGTCTCCTGTACTTAGGAGTGCCAGGCCCTGTAGTGTGTGTGTATGTGTGTGTGTGTGTGTGTGTGTTTGTGATATGTGCACATGTGTATCATATGTGCACATGTGTATCATATGTGCACATGTGTATCTGTACAACCTAACCCATATTCTTGTGACCACAGCCTGTGGGTCTGGATTATGGTAGACATCTAGATGTGGTATCTCCTTCTTCTCTTGTATGTCTATAGTGTCTAATGCTATACAGAGCTAGCCATGCTGGCCCACAGTAGCAGTTCAATCAATGCTTATCAACTGACTAGACTGAGAAGGTGTATTCTTCCCAGGGATGTGTTCCACATGTACGTGTGTGTGATATGTGAGCATAGAGTAGGTCTGTGGGAGTGTGTATGGCATGTGCTACCCTGGGCATGGACATAAGGAGTGCACTGCTGAGTCTGTCCCCATGGGAGTGGGTGGCAGGCAGAGAAGTTAGGAGTTTAGGACATATGTTCTGAGGTCAGACTGACCTAGGTTGGCGTACTAGCTCTGTACTTGCTCATGATATTACTTTGGTCCTTTAATCCATCTACATTCCAATTTTCTGGCAAGTGAAATGGGGAAGGAATCATGCCAAGCTTACAGCGATATAGGGAACATGAACTAGTCCAACATAGACAAGAGTCCTAGCTTATGAGCCAACACGTGGTGAGCACCAGTAGGTGATGATTGTTGGTGGTGGTGATAGCAATTAGAATAAGGAGAGCTAAGCTGCAAGGGACAGATGTGCCATGTGGGGAGTGGGAGAGTGAATGTACAAAGACCTGATCAAGAAGCTGGAAATGTGGAGGTAGTCCCAGAATGCCTACCTGTAAGAGAAGCTCAGAAAGCAGAGGCATAGGGCCACATGGGTTTGAAGAAGGAGAGAGAGAGGCAGACTTAGTTGCAAGAATCTGATCATTTAATGAGCCTCTTCCCTTCTTGGCAGCAGGATTAATGGAGTAAAATGGACTACAGATTCAGGAAACAGTCCAGCCTCCATTTTTTAAAAAAAGGATTTCTCCTAGTTCCCTGTGGCTCTCACAGGGAAGGCAGGCTGAAGGGAAGTCTGGCAATTGGGACAATAGGTTTGTAGAGGTGCTAGGAGAAGAGCTGAGGGCAGTAAAGGAAAAAAGGCTGAGAAGGGAAGAGAAGTCAATAGGGGGCTCAGGAGGGGAAGGAATAGAAGAGAGAGGAAGGTGGCAATGTTGGGGAAGCTATCCCCTCTTTGCAATGCAGGCAATACCTTCTTTTTTTTTTGTCGTGGGGCTTGAACTCTGGGCTTGGGCGCTGTCCTTGTGCTCTTCAGCTCAAGGTGAGCGCTCTACCGCTTGAGTCACAGCACCACTTCCGGTTTTCTAGCGGGTTTATTGGAGATAAGGGTCTCACGAACTTTCCTGCCTGGGCTGGCTTTGAACCGTGATCCTCTAATCTCAGCCTCCTGAGTAGCTACGATTACAGGTGTGAGCCACTGGCGCCCGGCTATGGTAATATCTTCTTTAGACCAGGCCTTACAACCTCTTGCTGAGTCACAGAGTCAGTTTTAGAGAGGAGATTAGCACACCAAGATGATTCAGGGGTATATAAGAAAGCCGTTCCTTAGCCAGCGACTAGATCTAGAATTCACATACTCTTTGCTTCTCCTCCTGGGCATTTTCAACTCCTTTCATGATGCTTCTTTAACTTCTGCCTCTCAGGCCACCATCTTGGGGCTCCATAGAGAGTATCTGTCATGACATGGTTCTGTGTATTGATGGCCAGCTGTCCTTACTGTATGCTGTGGTAGGTCTAAGGTCTTGTTCTACATTTCTGAACTCTTCAGGGAAGTGGACATTTTGAGACCTCCATATTCCCACATTTTGAGTTTCCACTGTCACCCTCTATTTTCTAAGAACCTATTTTTATCTGTGGGCCCACAATGATACAATACATTAATAATAGAATAGTTATCATGACAATGTTAAAACTTCTAGCATTGATGGTGTCAGTGATAATGAAAGTGTGGTGAGGATGACAATGGAGGCAGAGGTGGAGGTTATAAAGGATTGTGATGATTAATCTTGTCACCTTGATTGAACTGAGAAGGGCTTAGGAGATTAGTAAAGCACACCTCTGGGTATGCCTGTGATGATATTCTTAGAGGATAAATTAAAGGTGAAGATCTGTTCTGAATGTGGGTAGTACCAGCCTCCAATCTGGGGGTCCAGATGAAAGGAGAGACCCAATTTAAGCAGGCGTTCTTGCTCTGATCCTGGCTACCATGATATATGTGGCTCGGCTCTGCTATACCTTCCCTACCATGATGGACAGAACTGTGGGCTAAAATAAATCATTTCTCCATTAAGTTATTTTTCTCAGGTATTTTGTCACAGTGAAGACAAATCTGACTAACTTAATGGTGATAGCACAGGTTCTGATAGGCATGACATTAATGGGCTTCGTGATGATGATGAGAGCAGTGGAAGTGATGACAAGACTCATGGTAGAGGTGGCCATGGTTATGCTAAAAGTAGAAATAAACTGAGTGCCAGTGGCTCATGCTTATAAGCCTAGCTACTCAGGAGGCTGAGATCTAAGAATTGCAATTCAAATCCAGTCCAAGCAGGAAAGTCCATGAGACTCTTATGTCCAATTAAGCACCAAATATATTGGAAGTACAGCTGTGGCTCAAGTGATAGAAAGCAGTAGTGTCTTGGAGTTTGGCTGTTGGGATCCATTTGCATCTCATATACACATCTCATCCTTAGAAATCCAGGATGGCTACTGTGATCTTTGTTGGCAAGGAAAATGGGCAAACAGGCATCGATATGGCTCTTAAGGAGGGGCTGAAGCTGGGATTCAGACCTGTCAAAGCCTTGGATGGGAGAACTCAAGTTTTAACACCACACATTGAGAAGGTCTTTAATGCTCCATCGGCCTTACCTAAAACTTCCAGGAAGATTTTGGGAACAGTTAACAGAGCTACAGAGAAGCCAGTGAAGACTAATGGACTGCTCAAACAAAAGCACCTAAGCTTTACTGGCAAAAACATTACTGAGACGACTATGAAAGCATCAACCTCCGTTTCTGCCTCCAATGTCTACCCAGAAATAGAAAAATTCTTCCCCTTCAACCTTCTAGATTTTGAGAGTTTTGATCTGCCTGAAGAACACCAGATCCCACACCTCCCCCTGAGCGGAATACCCCTCATGGTCCTGGACGAGGAGTGGGGACTTGAGACACTGTTGGAGCTGGGTCCCCCTTTGCTGATGAAGAAGCCTTGTCCTATGTGGGAATCTGATCTGTTGCAGTCTCCCTCGAGCTTTCTCTCCTCCCTGGACATCAAGTTGTCTCCTGTATGTTATGACCTGGATATTTAAAGTTCTTACTCCATTATGGTTTATGTGTTTGTATTAATAAATAGGTTTTTTTAAATGATAGAATGCTAGCCTTGAGTAGAAAAGCTCAGTGACAGTGTCCAGGACCTAAATTCAAGCTCCAGGAACAGCACCCTGCACCCTACCCGCCCCCCCATGTACACAGAGGAATAGAAATGATGTAGAGGAATGATGATTGAGATGGTGACAACAGTGATGGTGATGAAGGTGGGAACAGGTAGTGATGGGGCACTGAAGGCAGTAATGATAATTCTGTCATATCTGTGATGATCGAAGAGGTGATGGTAGTGACAGATGAATGTGTTAATGGTGTTGAGAGTAATGATTGGGACAGTAGTTGTGATAAGGGGATGAAGATGAGCCCAAGGGCGGTAAGATTGATAATTGTAACAGCAATAAAAATGGCAATGGCTTGGGGCTGGTGGCTCATGCTTATAATCCTAGCTACTCAGGAGGCCAAGATCTGAGGATTGCAGGTTGAAGCTAACCTGGGCAAGAAAGTCCATGGGATTCTTATTTCCAATTACCCACCAAAAAAGCCAGAAGTGGAGCTGTTGCTCAAATGGTGGGGCACTAACCTTGAACACAAAATCTTGGGGACCCTGTCAACACCTTGAGTCTAAGCCCCAAGCTCAGCACAAAAAAATGGCAATCAGGATCCAAATGACAGTGGCATGTTGATAATGAAGACTGAGGCAGTTAAAGATGGTGATGATGTGGTGGGGAGGGAAAGGATAGTAGGAGAAAAACAAAAGAGGGGGTAACAATGCTCGACAAGAAATGTACTCATTACCTTACTTGTGTAACTGTAACCTCTCTGTACAGCATCTTTGCAATAAAATAAAAAATGCAAAAAGGAAATAAAATGCTGTCCACTATAAAAAGATGGTGATGAGGAGGCTAAATATGATAGCCAAGATGTCATAAGTCCATGATCTTGCACCTCACTTTTATTCCAACACTTTCCTTGTAATATTCTTCATTTTAGCTCACCTTACTTACCATCTTTTTCAATGTCTGGGAAATTAAAAACATTGGACCATCCAATAAAGACACAGTGCAATGGTTGGTTTTCTCTGGTCTCATCTGTTTGGGGGAGAGTTTTAATGTAGGTCAGTTGTGGTAATCTCTTATTCCTACTGAAGTCAAACCAGAAAAGAATTGCTAGCAGGAAGTGAAGGGTTGTGAAAGGCCTAATGGTGAGAATGCAGCACTGGAAAGCTATCTGAGGAAGTTGGGCAGATGTCTTGTGTCAGAAGGAGAGAGAGACCTCTGCCCCATTGGTCTGAAGGCAGGAGAAGCAGCTTTGGAAACAGGATTGTTTGTTTGCACCGTGCCTGCTGCAACCTCTGGGCTCCATTCTCAAGCCGATGGTAAGATGGGAAGAGGACAGGGAAGGGAAGAGGCAGTGCTATCTGGTGGTTTCAAGAAATGCCAGGGTTCTTGTCCAGATTTTTTGTGGTTCTGAGGGGGAGGTGACCCAGGATGTGGGCCTCTGTGACTCTGCTGCCTTCAGCCCTGCATCTGCCAAGAGGCCGCCCTTCAGGGACATTGCTTCCATCCTCTAGGCAGGCTGTGGTAAGAGGAGGGGAGAGGAAAGAAAATGGGAGGGGACCCTGCTCCAATTCCTGGGATGAATCTGTTTTTTCCCACAAACTCTTGGAGCTCTTTGCTCCCTCACAGTTCCACTTTTCTTTTCCCTCATTTCAACTTCTGGTTTGTGAAGGCCACTCACTTAAGCCTTGGTCAGAGACAAGCTTCCTGTAGCAAATGGATGCATACCAAGGTATCTGGTCCCATGACAAGGGAAGAGGATAGAGAATCTTGCCCAAATAGCATGAGCTTTCAAGTCAGAAACAAAGTCCAGTCCTAACTCCATTATTCATTGTATGACATCAGGCCTGTTAATGACACTCTGAACCTTAGTTTGTCTCTGTGCAATGCAAGGTCCTATCACGCTGGATTTATAAGGATTAAGTGAGTCATATTTAGTTAGGAAACCAGTACACTACTTGGCACCTAGAAACATTCTCTTTGTTCCCCCACCGCCCCTTTTTACAAGAGAGTAGACATAGCTCAATCCCTGGCCTGGGCACTGCCCCTTCCCATCTCATGCCATCTGAAAGTGGGAATGTCTATATTTTAACATTAAAGGGTCAGACATCCCGCTGGAGTCAGCGGTAGTTTTTGCTAACAAGGGGACCTTGGTAATTGCCTTCCTTCTCTGGATCTCAGTTTCCTCACTTGAAAATAAGGATAATAATCCCTGCTCTTCCAGCCTCTCCAGGTTGTTATGAGACTCCAATGAGCTCATGCTTTTGGGAAGTGCTAGATACGTGTAGGTGTTATTAGTTCAGTCCTGGAAAGAGGGAGGAAGGGAGGGAAGAAGAGAAAGAGGAAGGGGAGGCTTAATCCTTGGAGACTGAGAAAGCACCCAACTCAGGGGGCTTTCACTATGGGGATATCATGATCTGACTATCATAGGGCTCAGAGGTGGCTGGGGACATAGAATTGGAGCCCAACTATGAGGCTCACCCATGTTTGGCTTGGGTGGAGTGACACCAAGGGGAGTCCATTTATGTCCTTTGGCGTAAGTCACATGCAAATATGTCAATTATGGGGATTGAGTTAATTGCCTGGGGACTCTGGAGCTAGATGACAACCCCCAAAGGCCAAAGGCCTCCATCCTTTTTCATCCTCCCACTTTTTGATCTTATTGAGGTCAGAACTTGGGATGACCAATGTCTGAACTTTTTGGTCTTTCTCTTACCTGCCATAGGAAACTGTGGGCTAGTCCGTCTGGGTAACATTAAGTTAGAGGAGGGTTTTTGCTGAGGAGCTACAGATCCTTTTCGAATCTTCAGCTTATAGGATATGGGTCCTATGCCCAAGGCCTTGCAGCCTTTACAGATTGTCTTTTTTTATCACACATGTTGCTCTTCTTTTCTTTCCTTACCAATGTCCCTTCATCTTTCTCATGAGAGTGATCAACTTCTTCCCACCTTAAATTCTTGCTACTCAGTCCTCATTATTTTTCAAAGAGAGTTTCATGTGTTTTGGGCCAGAGTGGCATGTGATCCTCCTATTTACACTTCCTGCATAGCTGGGGTGACATACAACCATGCTTAGCATGATTGAGATGAAGGTCTCACAATTTTTCCTTTGCCTGGGTTGGCCTCTTTCCAACCTACATATAATTTTCTATTTCTGTATCAATGCATCCATGATGCCCCAGGCTCACCACTCCTGTCCAAAATGTGTGTCTTTAGCCACATCTTCCTGCTCTTCTCCGAAAGCCTCATTTCCAGATCCTGTCTCTGCCAGCCTCCAGCCCAGCCTGACTACCCCCTACCCCTCATCCCTGCCTCTGCCATATTCCTGAGGAAAGAGCTGGGAGGGGGGCCTGGGAATCCTTCCACCCCTGACTTCCCTCCACCCATCTTCCTGACTTTCTACCACCTCATGACTCAGCTTCATCAGGGGCTCCTGCTGCTGAAACATTCTTGTGCTCCTCGCACCCTGCCACCTGCAGCCTGAACTCTGAACGCTCCCTCATCCCAAGTCAGCTTGAGCCCCACTTGGCCCCCTCCACCAACTCAGTTGTCAGCTCCTCCCTGTGAGGTGTCCCACAACAGCCAGCTGCTGCCTGCAGTTCAACTGTGGTTGAACTGCAGTTCACATACTGGCCACCCCCAGACACTGTGTTTGATCAGCTGATCAAATCTACAGTCTGCTAGGGAATGGCACTTACAAGCTTAGCTGTGCTCTGGTGACAGACAGAATCCTCAGGCCAGCCTGACATTGCCCAGTGGCCAAGATTAGGGAGGGGATGCAGGTGAGGAAATGAGCTTCCTGTGTGTGGTGTGTGGTGTGTGTGTGTGTGTGTGTGTGTGTGTATGAGAAGGTGTAATGCAGCTGGGCACGGGTGACTCAGGCCTGTAATCCTAGCTACTCAGGAAGCTAAGATATGAAGATTGCAATTCAAAGTTAGCCCAGGCAGAAAATCAGTGAGAGTCTTATTAACAACCAGAAAACTAGAATTGGAGCTGTGGCTCAAGTGATAGAACACTAATACTAAGCAAAAAAATAAAATAAACAAAACCAAAAACGAACAAACTTAGGGACAGCACCTCGAACCAGGACTGGCACACATACACATATAAAAAAGAGGATGTAATGTGTGTTCTAGCAACTGGTGGGTGTCACAAGGTATTTGTTGGGTGGTAATAGTAAAGTGAGCTTGCTATGTTGTACGTTATGTGGCTATACTTCAGAGGCAATGTGTGTATGTGTATGTGTTATCCCAGCTGAGGGGGGTGTATGTTGTGGTGGTGACATGTTACATGGTTACAGTATGATATGGATGACTTTAACAATTTGGGTGTCACAGTGCAGGTGGAGACATGCTGGGTGACAAAGTATACATATCTGTTGAGAGGTTGTGATCTACTTGGTATGAGGTTTGTGAACCCTCAACTCAGTTCCCAGTACTTGTAGCTCAAACCTGGACTCTATAATCTGAGGTGAGTTGGAACCAAATCCTTGTAAACGTGATCTGGCTTTCATGCCTGCTGGTCCAGTCCCCCTTGGTATCAGCAGCTTCCTCTAAATCCTGGGTAGAAGTTTCTGTTCATTACAGGTGAGACAGAGAAAAGAAAAGGCTAAGGAAGAGGAGGACAGAAGAGATGGAAGAGAAAGGCCAGCAAGAGGGAGGGAGAGACATAGAGAGTCACTGGGAGCCTTCTCCATACTATTCCAGGCTCTGGAGTCACAGTAAATAACAAAGTGAGACCAGCAGCTAAGGGTCAGGTTCAAAGGACCACCTTGGGATCAAGATCTACTGGTAAAAGTGATTGTGCTGATGTCCACAAGTGTGAATTGTGTGAACCCTTCTTTGGGTAATTTCTACTTCTTTGGTTCCCTAAGCTCAAGTTGAGGATGTTAGGTTTGAATTATCTCTACCATATCCAACCAACTTGGCAGACATCTCTATGGCTGTGTATTGAATCATTCATGGGA